GTATCGGAGACTCCATCTTCGTTGGCTCTGGGGCGTACTGGTGCCTCGCTTACTTTTTCTCGATGCTGCGCGGAGGTGGCTGGGAGCGTGCTGGCACAGGCGGATGTCGGTGAGGATTGGCGAGCATATTCAGATAGTGAGCTGCATGCGGCAGACCTCGACACCGCGCCAGTTCACCACCCACCAAACCACCCCGACCCAACCCGAAGGCCTCAATTTGCCCTCCATTTTCAGATGGGGGGGGTCGGGGAACATGTAAAAAACACATGAAGCCCGTCCCCCCCCCGAACCCGAAATTCGGGTCTTCGGGTTGGGTGGGGGTGGTCTGGTAGGTAGTCACCAGTGCAGCAACGCAGCAGCACGGCGTCTGAGTCCACGACTCGGTCCAGCCTGCTCCCCCGCCTGAGCAGCCTGCGCGGGTCCAGGACGCCCACTTCGCGGTTCGTTATGCCACCGAGTTTCGTTGAGCTTGCTCACCTCTTTCCATCTCTCTCTCTCTCTCTCTCTTCCTAACTTGTACCATTCTCCTATATCCACCAGTCTGGCCGTTGCCCATCCTGACTTCCCAGACATGCGATGTCGTTTTTTTGTACGCAGCGTGGGGCCACAGATTTTTTGAACCCCCGTCCAGGAACTGTTTTTTCATCCCGAGTCGGTTTTTGACCGTCCCAGGGCCTGGCGAGGGCCTCCAGTGGCCGAGAATCGGCAAGAACCTCCCGCCTTATGATGTTCCAACCTACTTTAGCCTTGACCGCCAGAAGGAATTTCGAGTACCGAAACTGGAAGGTTTTCGCGTGTCGGGCCCTGGGAGGCGATGCTCGTTCGGCACCGTTCCGATGCTGTACTGGGTGCTCGACATCAATCCTGGGAGGTGGTCTCTCAGTACGGAGGGAGCAGCAGCGCTCCCGTCGTGACTTTGCGCAGAGCGAGTTGGTCTGGGGCCGTGGCGCAGGTGACATCTGACAGCCTGCCTCGGGTCGGGCGGGCGCCTGCGGGCCCGGTCTGGGGAGCTCCAGAGGAGCCTGTCGACTAGATGTAAGAGTGACCTTTCGCCGGAGTGACCTTTGGTGCGGACCCAGTGGGGCCCCCCGATCGCCGAACGCGATGCGATAGCAGGGCCTTGCGCGCCTGTCTTTGGTCCCCCCGCGGCCCCCAAAAAGCCGCGCACCAAAGGTCACTCTTGCCCGGGGTCACTCCTGCGTTTCGCCGAGCCTGGCTGCGTGGGGCCTGGGGCTCCGGTCGCGACTGCTCTGTGCTCGGATCGGACGGCGGCATGCCCATCGGTCGTCGACAGCAGGCAGTCTCGAATTCCCACAGTCCAGTCTTTCTCGAGCGCCCTCCCGCTTCAACGATCGGGTGGCCTCCCCTGTTCCGTCCTCTCTAGGGGGGGCGGACACCCAATCGGATTTCAACGCCTTCCTACTTCATGTTTTCTACCTACTTCTTCCGACCGACGGGTAAGCATACACGTTCGGAGCTCCGCGCAGATTCTTGGATTTGCGCTGTGGCCCCCAGGCGGCGCCCCTGGCACCGTTCCTGGCGCGCTCCGCACGCCAGGGAGGGAGGCCCGGCGCTGATCCCAGAAGTCCGCGCGGACCTGCGAGCGAAAGTCTGTGCTTGTGCAACGAGTCTTCCTCCACGCTGGGCCTTCTCGGGACCTTCTTGGGCTCCGCTCCCTCGGGGGCCCTCTCTTGGCCTCCTGGGGCCATGCCGTGCTGGCGTCCATTTGGGGGTCTCGGGGCTGGCTTGGATGGTCTTTGGGCCGTCAGCGGGGGGAGGGCTCATGGCCGTGCTGGAGCCGCCTGAGTGGTGCAGAGTCGTGAGTGTTCAAGGCGCATCTTGTAGCTTGGAAGCTGGTGTGGGCGGAGCGGGCACTGGCGAATTGGTAGAGGAGGCGGCGCGCCTAAAGAAGCTGGAGTCTGTTATATCGCCGTCCTCCCACTGCTGAGATGACAGACAGTTCTGTGGCAACCCTGGCGTGTGCTGCCTCAATCCACGGACAGAGGAGGCGGATGATGATGATGATGATGATGATGATGATGATGATGATGATGATGATGATGATGATGATGATGATGATGATGATGATGATGATGATGATGATGATGATGGTGGTGATGATGATGCTGATGACGATGATGATGCTGCTGATGCTGATGCTGATGCTGATGCTGCTGCTGATGACGATGATGATGATGATGATGATGATGATGATGATGATGATGATGCTGATGGTGATGATGATGATGATGATGATGATGATGATGATGATGATGATGATGATGATGATGATGATGATGAGGATGAGGATGAGGATGATGATGATGAGGAGGAGGAGGAGGATGAGGAGGAAGAGGAGGAGGAGGAGGAGGAGGAGGAGGAGGAGGAGGAGGAGAAAGAGGTGCAGCAGTCTGCACAAGTGTGCAAAGGTCGCTCACACTGATGTTACGGGCTTGTTGTTGTCGATGTGGGCGGAAACGCTCATTGGAGCACCGCCCACCTCTCCCCAACAGCAACGAAGGCCCTTTCGGTGCCCCTGGTGCTGTTGGTGTTCTCCCCCCCAGGCTCCTGTGGAGCCCCTGCGCGGGGCTCTTTGTGGTGTGTAGTTGCGTCCTCCCCTTTGGGCTTCCCCAGGAGTCGTGAAGGTTCCTCAGGGTTCTTCAGGGTCCTTCAGGATGATGTAGGGGATCCTCGGGGTCCTCTTGCTACAGCTTTTCACTACAGCTCTCCACCACAGTTTTGAGCTTTCACTACAGCCCCCTACCACCGTTCCCACTGCAGTTTCCATTCTGGCTTTGCTGCAGCTTTACCAGTACAGTTCTCACTACATACCCCATTGCAGCTCTTATCACAACTCGTATTGCTTATTCCATTGCAGCTCATACTATAGTTGCTTGTCGAAGCCAGTAGAACAGTTCTCACTTCAGCTCCTACTACAGCTCCTGCTACATTTTCCAGTGCAGCTCATAGTTCAGTTCCTTTTCACAGCGAGCAGTACAGCTCATCTTGTGGCTCCTACCACGGCACAGTACACCTTCCATTACAGCTGTGGTTATTGCCATCGCCCAGCTTGTGTTACACCTTTCTCACAGCTCTTACTCCAGGTCTTACAGCAGCTCCTACCACAGCTCCTACGACAGCTCTTTCTACAGCTCCTGCTCGGACTCCTATCACCCTCAGCAGTACAGTTCTCAATCCAGCTGTTACTACAGGTCCTACTAAAGCTCCTATTGCTGCTCCTACCACATCTCCCAGTGCAGCTCCTCTTACAGTTCTCCCGCCCGTTGGGTCTGTTTACCTGACCCGCCCGTTGGGGTCCGCCTGCCAATCTTCCTGCTTCTCTCTCCCTCCTCCTGCACCATTTTCTTCGTCCTCACTTCACCTCCCTTCCTCCCCCTTGCCCCCTCACTTCTCTTTTTTTGTTCCCCCCCCCCGCTTTCTCCCTTTGTTTTTTTTTTTCTCCCTCTTCCGCTTCTCAAGGCCTCGCCAATTACATGTGGTAGGTAAACAAGCATATGCCCCCCAAATGGTACGATCGAAAACGAAGATGCGGGTCTCGATGCCTCGGGACATACATGTCGATTGAGAGCATCGAGCAGCGAATAGTCTAAATCTTACGGTTGTTGTCTGATGTAGTGTGTGGTGTGCGGGGTCTGGCCTGCTCTTGAAACAGCGCGTGCTGCCTTTGGCAGCCAATACTGTACGAAATCCTTGGTTTTATTCGAAGGTCTCAGAACGCTTCTCCTTCGCGGAGCAGCGCAGACAAAAGCAGAGAAGAAAATTGCCGTGGGGGGGAGCGCGCTGCAGTTTCAAGCGATTGGTGCCGATTTCCATCGCGTCCGCAGGCGGGGGCGCTGCATCACCGAAAGCGTATGCGTGCACGGTTATACGGTGTGCTTGGGTGTGCACATCCCAGAAGCCAGTTGCAGGTGGCAGATTGTCACGCTGGTCGAACTCTATCTATCCATCCTTCGTCCTCCGTTTCGAAGGTCAACCCCTTCCTCATTCTTCTCCGCGGTCCTTCCTCCCATTCCTCCCCTTCCCCCCCTTCCCCTTTGTGAAGGTTTCTTGGCGCCAACTCATCCGTTCTGCCTGAGAAGTTCCAGGATATGAAGGTGATTCCAGACGAACTCGACTCGGAGAAGCTCAGGTCGAGGTTCAAGAGGAACAAAGGAGCGGGAAGGGGTCTAAGAGTTTCCTCTTCCCGTGCTCCACTCCTTCCCCTACCCCTCATCCTTCTCGTCTCCCTCCTCCTTCTGCTCCTTAGTTTCCTCTTTCCTTGCTCCCCCTTGCTCTCAGCCGCAGCGACGCGCCGCGCTGGCCCGCCGCACGACTCCAGCCAGCCGTCGCCGTCGCCGTCGCCGCCGCCGCCGCCACCGCCGCCGCCGTCGTCGCCGCCGCCGCCGTCGCCGCCGCCGCCGCCGTCGCCGTCGTCGCCGTCGCCGCCGCCGCCACCGCCGCCACCGCCGCCGTCGCCGTCGCCGCCGCCGCCGTCGCCGCCGCCGCCGCCGCCGTCGCCGCCGCCGTCGTCGTCGTCGTCGTCGTCGTCGTCGTCGTCGTCGTCGTCGTCGTCGTCGTCGTCGTCGTCGTCGGCGTCGTCGTCGTCGTTTGTCGTCGTCGGCGTCGTCTGTCGTGCCGATGCCTTCGCTCGTCGGTCGCCCTCGCCCCGCCCGTCGCTGCCCGCCGCCGCCGTCGCCGCGCCGCTGCCGCCCTCTCTCTGCCCCCGCCGGGGCCGCGCGCCCCTGCGGGGCGCGCGCGCGCCGGCCTGGGCCGGCGCCCCGGGAGCGGCAGCGTGTCTGTTTCGGCCGCTGCAGGATCGGGAGGGGGAAGAACACACCGCCGTAAGGAATCGTTTTTTCCCCAGGGAGATATAGGAAACGATGGGAAATGGGGGGGGAAGACGAAAACCCAGAAGATATGAGAAAAGATGGGAATATATCTTGGCCTGCGCCCCAGAAGCGGGATTGTGTCTGTTTCTGCCGCTGCAGGATCGGGAGGGGGAAAAACACACCGACAGAACGAATCGTCGATTCCCAGGGAACTATGGGAAAAGATGGGAAATGGGGGGGCGGAAGACGAGAACCCAGGAAATATGAGAACATATGGGGAATCTATTGGTATTGGTGTCCCTGTGCCCCTCCCAAAAAGCGGTCTCTGGACCGCGAAACGGTACATGCCGGTCGTCGAAGTAGGTATTCTTGGATCCCCAGATCTCACTTTACCTCAAGCGCCTTCCTACTTCAAGAATCGATCTGTTTCTGCTGTGTTTTGTGGTTCTCTGGGAGGGCCCGAACCCAATCTGCTTTATCCGCCTTCCCACTTCATGCTTTTACCTACTTCCCCCGACCGGCGTGGAAAGCTACTGCTTCCAGAAACGGGAACAAATCCCTCCAGGATTGGAGCCAGAACCGGCAACAAGAGGGGACGGAGCCGAAGGAACAGGGATTCCACGGCCCGGCTGCGGTGTGCGGGGTGGGGGGGGCGCTCGGGGTGAGGGGAAGGGGCTGGCGTGGCCCTCCTCCATTCGCCCCAAGGGCTTCCCGCCAGGCCTGACCTCAGTCTGCCCAACTCGCCTGCTGGTCCCCCAGGGGAAGAGCGGCGCTCGTGTGCTCGTCGCCCCATGCTGTGGGCACCTCTGGCGCCTCCTCCTCCCTCCTCCGCCCCCCTCCTCCTCCTCCTCCGCCTCTCCTCCTCCTCCTCCTTCTCGTCCTCCTCCTCCTCCTCCTCTCCTCTCCTCTCCTCCTCCTCCTCTCCTCCTCCTCCTCCTCCTCCTCCTCCTCCTCCTCCTCCTCCTCCTCCTCCTCCTCCCCCCGCACCGGGTCGCGGGCGATGCCCCGTGCCCTCGTCGCAGTGCAGCGCTGGGCCCGGGCCCCTCCCCGAGCGGGTCCCGAGCAGGCGGGGCTTCGGGGACCGCGCCGCACCGCCGACGCATCGCCGATGCAGCTCGATGTGGAGCCCGATTTTCTCCATGCCGACGGCGCCGATGCGTGGCCGCCGCGTCGCTGGCGCATCGCCGGTGCGTCGCCGATGCATCGGCGACGTCGGCGCGATCCTGCGGCCCGATCCGCTGGAGCCCCAGGGGGGGGCCTCCAAGGGTGGGGCCTCGTGCGTGCCGCAGGCGGGACGGCGCCGGGGTCTCGGGGCAGGGTCCCCCGCTTGTCCCCTGCGGCCACGGCGCTCGTGCCAGAGGGTCTCGCGAGCAGGGGATCGTGCACCCCCGTCGCGTGACAGGCGTTGTCCGAGCCGTGCGCTTCCTCTCCCCTCTCCCGTTCTCCATCCCTCCCTCCCTCCTCCTCCACGCTCCTCCTCACCTCTCGTCTTTCTCTTCCCCTTCCTTCCTCTTCCTCGTCGTATTTTATCATGTCGTCCTTCCTCCCCGTCGTCCTTCCCTTTTTTCCCGCCTGCTGTTCTCTTTTTCTTCCTCCTGCTGCAGGGCTTGGCCCGTCCTCTTCCGCCTTCTGCTCTTCATCCACCCCTCCTATCTTCTTCTTCTTGTTCGTCTTCTTGTTCTTCTTCTTCATCATCATCTTCATCATCATCATCATCATCTTCTTCTTCTTCTTCTTCTTTCAAGTTCTCCTTCTCCTCCTCCTCCTGCTCCCTCCTCCCTGCTCCTCCTACTTTCGGCTGCGCCTGTACCCAGCGCGCTTCGGTAGCGGTCAGGACGGCCGGGAGGCGTAGCTGTAGCTGGCGGTGGCCCAGGCTTTGAGATCCCAGGCCTCGACCCCCGGCCCCGCAGCATGTGCCGTGTCGGACGCACGTGGCCAAGCTCAGAGGGTATTCAGTTTTGCCCCCGCCCCCCCCCCCCCTGATCTCTCGGCGGTGGATTAGACTGGCACCCGAAACCTCGTCGCGGCGGCGGCGAGGAGTCTTTTCCCTATATATATATATATATATATATATATATATATAGGGCTGGGCAATGCTTGAGGGCCATCTCTCCGGGTAATGTTTGGGGTGCTGGTCGGGGGCCTCACGAGGGCAAGGCCGATCTGGCACCCTTCCGCGGCCTTTGGAGAAGCACGAGGCATACCGTGCGATGGCGACATCTCCCCACATTCCTCGATGTCCTTCTGGCAGCCTGGAGTTATGGGTTTGATGCGAACCTTCACGCTGTCTCGGCTGGCACCCCAGGGACTCGACGAGAGCGCCGAGGGGTGATCGATGATCTGCCATTCGTGCCTCCTGCCTTTTTCCCACGCTGCCGTGTGCGCGATTCGCGCAGCAGTTGCCCCACCTCCTCCGAGTTTCTTAACGACAGCCCCACATCGACCCCCGTCGCGGGCAGCCACCGCACGCCGACTGCGCTCCGACCCCCGTCGCGGCGCGACGACGAGGCGAAGTTGACCCCCGTCGGGGGGGGTCCCCCCCCTGCGCTTATTGAGACACCCCCAGAGAATTTTTCGAGCGCAGTGTGCGACCGCCCCCGCTGCCACAGAGAAGACTGTCTGTGCCGCCCGCGGGAGTGTCCCTCAGCAGCCCACGCTCACTTCCCGCGCAGCCGGCAGGACGGCTCTCCTCGGAGCCGTGCAGCCACATGGCTCTGCCACCCCCGCCCGAGTGGGCACCCTGCTGGGACAGACAGCCTCGGCGCGGTCCCTCACGGCTACGAGCACGGAGTCTCTTCGCGGCGCTGCTGCGGGACAGATCAACTTGACGTGGCCCTGCATGGACCGATCGTCCCAATGCGACCCCCTACACGGCCTGAAGTTTGTTGCGAGGCGTTTTCGTTCACGCGCGCGCGCGCGCGGGCTCGCTTCCGCTGGCCCTGCGATGGTACAGATTTGCGCGGGGGCTCGTCTTGGAGCCGCTTGAGCTTTGTCGTTGCAGGGGACTTCGGCTGCCGTGGATCTAGCACAGCCGCTTTTTGTCACCGGGGCAGGCGGCGGAGTGGCTGGGCAATCGGTCTGCACCTTCGTCGGCCCTCGCCGTGGTGCCTACCAGGCCGAGGTCAGTCCAATGACAGGTCCAGCGCCAAGGCTGAACCGCGGGCCAAGCCGGTTTGATGGCCCCCCAGGTCTGCGCAGATTTTCCTACAGCCCCTGCATGTCTCCGCTCCCTAGCGTGCTACCTCTTCATCGTCGCCTCGCCATCACCATCGCAACCACTGCCCCCCTGTTCCACGGCTGCACTTGCTCCAGCCACAGCGCGCCTGCGCATGGACTTCTCGTCGCGTGTCTGCCTGGCAGACACCCCCAGGCAGTGCAGCACACACTCCCCATTCGCGCTTCGGATGGACGGGAGCGCGCTCCAGTCCGGATGCCAATTTGCGCCGCCATGCCAGACAGTAAATCATGGAAATTTCCGCTCGTCTTGGAATGAATGCATGCCGGCGAATGGCACCCAACAGCGCTCAACAGCGCCACAGAGTGCCAAATAGCGCTGACATAGCGCCCACTAGCGACCAACAGCGCCATGTGAGGGAGGTGCACCATGTCCGCTTTGCGCGCGGTTGGGCGCACCATCGGGCGCCATGGGGACGACCGACAGCTTCCGTCAGTTGCTTTCTAACAAGTTGTGCCACCATTGCTTCTAACGTTGTGCGAGGGAGGGCGGGAATGGGCGGCGCCCGCTGACTCGTCCGACCTGTCCAGCTTGGCCACCTCCCTCTCCCCGCTCCTGTTCTCATCCTCGCTAGTCTCCCCCTCGCTCTCCCTCCCTTTTCGTCATCTCTTTCCTCTCCTCCCAGTCTCCTTGCCGCATCATCTCCCGGCTTCCTTCCTCGTCCCTCCAGGCGCAGCACCTGAGCTCTGGCGTTGGAAGTGTGACAGGCATGATGTTGGGAAGAAGGGCTGCGTGCGAGGAGGGAGGGGCGGGAATATTGGAAAGCAGTGTGAGCAGGAGGCCAACGGGGAGGACGGGCAGGCCCCAGGGTTGAGAGAGCGAGGGGAATGAGGAGGAAAAGGGAGGGGGCGATGGGTGAGCCGCGCGGGCAGGATACCTTGAATGTGGCGAGAATGCCCCCGTGGACGCGCGGAGTGAGAGGCGAATCCGCTCGTATCAAGTCGTTTAGTTTGTGTAGTTGCATGCTCGCTCAGGTTTGCTCTCATCTTTCCCCTCCCTCTCCCCTCCTCTCCCCCTTCCTCTCCTCCTCCTCCTCCTCCTCCTCCTCCTCCTACCTCATTACATTTTCCCTAATGTTCCCTCTCCCTATCCCTTTTCTTTGTAAGAGCCCCCTCGTCACACCACTGGACGGGGCTGGGCGTTCACTCACAAGAGACTCCCGCACAGCTCATGAGCTTGAAGCTTGAAGCTCCCAACAGTTTCACGGATGGAGGGCGGGTGGTTTTCGAATTGCGTCTCTTACCGTAGCGCCGCGCGTATCCGTCTGACAAGTTTCCAACATTGGCCAGCGTGGACTCTAAGCGGAAAACTTTTGATTTATGGATATGCAGCCCTTGGGTTGCAATGTGTGTGATGTGCATTCCATGTGTTGCATTCGGTATGGTTCAACCCATGAGACAAAGCATCGAGCAATTTATGTGGTGCAAAATTCGTGGTGCAGGGTATACTGTTCAAGCTATACTGTACAAGCTATGTGGAGCAAGCCATGTGGTGCAACCCATGGGGTGCACTATGGATTGCAAGGTATGTGGCGCAACTTGAGTCGCGCAAGCTCGTGATGCAATCTATGCGGTGCACGATGTGTGGTTTGACTATGTAGTGCAAACCACGGAGTGCAATCTTTGAAATGCAACATGCGTGTATTTGCACATACACATAAATCTCAAAACACACATGTGTGTGGTGCAATTTACGTAACGCACTCTATGTGGTGCACCCTGCCAAGTGTAAGACGTTTGGTATCATCTGTGTGGTGCACTAGATGTTGTGCAATCCATGCGTTTCATTCTATGCGACACAACGGTGCTACCCGCGCAACATGCGCGCGTGACCACCTCCCATTCTTGTTCAAACATCCCACCCTCTCATCCGCAACCCTGGTCGGTCCTCGGCGGTCTTCTAGCATCACTGGTCGCCTTTCGTGGCCTTCTGGTCGGCCCCTTGATCGCTGCTGCTGTTTTCCTGTCCCCTTCCGGCGGCAGAGTGGTGCCGTCAGGATGCGGCCAAGCCCTCGAGAGCCTTGAAGCCTCCCTGTCCCTTCCCCTTCCCCCCCTACTGCCTCATTCCTCCCGCCCGCCTCCCCTCCCCCCGCCTTCTTCATCCTCCCCCGTCCGTGTCTTTCAGTATTGTCCTCATCCCACCCTTCCCTTGCGCATGCCCGTGCGGTCTCTTCCCCAGGGTTGCTGGCTGGCGGCCTTCAGGTGGGGCCGCGAAGCTCGGCGCAGCCCTCGCAGGTTCTCTGGCCGTCGCCCCCGTCGCGGGGCGTCCCTGCACAACCCACCTCTGTGTCCTCTTTAGGGGGCCACGTGCGAACCCTACCCCTACCCCCCACGATTTCTGAGGGGGAGGGTGGGGTTCACTTCACTCGGGAGCTCCCGAACGAAGTGAACCCGAGTGAAGTGAACCCCACCCTCCCCCTCAGAAATCGTGGGGGGTAGGGGTAGGGTTCGCACGTGGCCCCCTACTCTTGATCTCTCCAGGTGGCGTCCCCTGTACTCTCAGACCGTTCGCCCGAGCTCGTTGGCGGCTTGTTCCAAAGCGGCACAGAGACGGGTGCTTGCACATCGTACGTATCAGGGCACCGCGGCACGAAGCAAAGCAGGCACCCCTGAGCGAGAGGGCAACGCAGCGCACCGAACGCGAGAGCAGTGCCCATGCAGCGCAACTCCACGGACCGCAGCGCACTGCAAACGAACACGCGGCAGAACACCGCAGGGCCCACCACAGGATCTCGCAGAAACCGAGCACAGACGCCGACCCCCCGAAAGGTGGCCGTGGTAACAGCGGCAGCAGTCATGCGGACGAGAACAGGAGCGGCACGACAGGAGGCGCCGACGCGGGACAGTCGACGCTTCGCGCGCCTTCTCAAGCCCGTCTTGATTTAAGTCGGGCCTGTCCCTCTACAGGGGGAATATTCAGAAATAGTCAAAAAATAGCCTGGGGACTATTTCTTGAGTATTTTTGACCGTTTTGACGTATTTTTGGGTAGTTTTTGTATTTCGTTGAAACTCCCCCTGTATGGGGGACACGCCCGACCGAAGTCCAGATCTATGCTCCAGCTGATCCGTCGTGAGAAGGTGTGCGGGGGAGCACTCGTGAAGCCGCGAGGGTGGGCACCCGTCAAGCACCAGCGGGGGTCAGCCACGAGCAGACCCCGAAACGATCCGCTCGGGGACTCCCGGGAGCCTCCCGGCGGCCCCGGGGAGCCACGCCGGGGCCCCCTCGCGGACGTGTCGGGGGCACCCTCGGGGCCCTCGTTGAGGCCCTCTGCCCGGGGGGGCCCTCCCGGGGGGCCTTCGGCGGAAGCCGTGGGGGGGGGGGCCTCCTTCCTGGTCCCTTCGGGGCCCTCTTGAGGTCCTCTGCGGGGGGGCCTTCCTGGGGGCCCTCGGCTGAAGCCGTGGGGGGGGGGGTCCCCTTTCTGGAGCCCGGCACACCTCGTTTCGGGGCTCTGTGGGGGCGCTCCCGGCTCGGGCTCCGTGGTGCCCTTTTGGAGCCGTTCTGGCCCGTGTGGCGTGGGGGACGCTCCCACGACCCCTTCGGGGGCGGGGGACGCCAAGGCCCAGAGGAGGACTTCTCCTGAGACCGGGGGATGGGCGAACCCATCACCGAAGCGGAAGAAGCATGTCTGGAATAGCCATCCCTCCTCTTCTCTGCTTAAATCAAGCTTCGTGCGGCCCGCTTAGCTTCGACCGGAAGAGGTGCGCATTCGTCCTGCGGATCAACAAATATCTGGAATAGCCAATCCGCCAGATCTCCTCTGCGCAGGCGGCTTCGGCTGTGCACCTGCTGTACCTGCACACCGCCCGTGCTCGCGCACGCGGGCTTCACGTCCTGAGCGTGGCTCCCCCGCCCCCCCCCCCGGCCTCCCCGCCCGCGCCCTCCCTCCCGCCTTTGCTGTTTCGCCTCGGTGCCCAATCCGCCTCCACGACAGCCCAGTGCAAGCTTGACTGCGACGGGTTCGTTCCGAAGCCGCCGACGCACAAAAAACAGGCGGCTTGTGGAATTGCAATATTCTCGGCCTCATAAGGCCGCTGTGCTCCGCATGGCCTGGGAGCTGGAAGGCAAGATCGGCATGATCAGGGGCAAGACCGAGGATCGGGTGGCAAGATCGACGATCGGGGGGCCAAGATGGGGGCAAGATCGAGGATCGAGGGGGCAAGATGGGGCAAGACAGGGGACAAGAGCAAGGTCTGGTGGGGGCCAAAGTGAGGGGCGGGGGGGCCAGAAAAGACGGCAACATCAAGGATCGGGGGGGCACGGTGGGGGACATCGAGGATCGGGGGGCAAAATGGCGATGGGAGAGGTTGGATGAGCCGTCCAGGTCTCCTGGCGCGACCTCATCTGGACTCTCGCTGCCATGTTGAACGTTCCCTCCCATCGATATGGCTTCGCCCCCCCGCGGGCGTTCCAGGAAGTGGGGCCCGTGGGGTGTGCGAGAACGGGACGGAGGAGGAGAGGGTTATGCTGATTTTGATAAGGAGGATGGCGACGATGATTACGACGACGGCGACGTCGACGAGGGCGACGACGACGAGGACGACGAGGACGACGATGCTGATGATACTGATGATGCTGCTGCAGATGATGATGATGATTCTGATGATGCTGATGATGATTAACATGGTGGTGGTGATGATGCTGATGATGAGACTGATGGTGATGATGATGCTGTGTCTGATTAAGAGGATGCTGATACTGTGATGCTGATGAGTAGGAAGAGGAGGAACACGATGATGATGATGATGATGATGATGATGATGATGATGATGATGATGATGATGATGATGATGATGATGATGATGATGATGATGTTGCTGCTGCTGCTGATGATGCAATGCTGGTGATGCATGATGCTGATACAGATGCTGATGCAGATGATGATGCAGATGATGATGCTGCAGCTGATGATGATGATGATGATGATGATGATGATGATGATGATGATGATGATCATGATGATGATTATGATAATGTATGCTGGTGATGGTGATGGCGATGATGGTGATGACGACGACGATGCTGGTGATGATGGTGTGGATGATGATGATGATTATGATGATGATGATGATGATGATGATGATGATGATGATGATGATGATGATGATGATGACGATGTTGATCATGGTGACTGTAGTGGTGACTGTGAGTGTGATGGTGATCGTGATCAGGAGCATGATGTATGGTCGCATGGCTGTAGAACAACCAATCAGCGTCTACCTGGGCACAGACAGGGAACTGACAACGCTGGCGTGCAGCACCACCTTGGACCTCGCAGTGCAGTGGGGCGAGAGTTGCTGCACCCCGTTGCGTGCCGCAGCACCTGCGAGTGAAACAGGAACGACCTGTCCCAAGCACTGCGGGCCCGAGGTGGAACCAACACGAGATGTCGGGGACGGATATCTTCTGATGCGGGTGTCCCGGAGAACGTCACCGCCCAGTAAACGATGGACCATAACATGAACACCGCGAATGTCGCGCCCGCGGGCTTGAACACCACGACATTACCGCCCATGAGCGTGACCACGGAGTTGCCACCGAAGCACGCGAACGCCACGAAGCTGCGGCCCACGAGCGCGGGCGTGGGTGTGAACGCTTCGAAAGTGCAAGTCACGAGCGTGAAGGCTGCTTAGCTGCCGCCCGTGAGCGTAAACACCACGAAGCTGCCGCCCACGAGCGTGAACACCCCGAAGCTGTCGCCCACGATCGCGACACCTCCGAAGCTGCCGCCCACGAGCGGGAACGTAACGAAACTGCCCGTCACGGGCGCGAGAAGCACGAAGCTGACGCCCACGGTCGTGAATCCCGCGATGCCGTCGCTCACGAGCACCTGCGCCACATGGCTGCCGCTCACGAGCGTGATCATCACGAAACAGTCGCCAACGAATTTGAAGAACACGATGGTGCCGCCAATGGGCGTGAATACTCCGAAATTGCCGCCTACGGGTATGAACGCCACGAAGTTGCTGCCCACGAGCGTGAACACCACGAAGCTGCCGCCCACGAGCTTGCACGCTGCGAGATTGTCGCCTACGGGTGTGAACGCCTCTGCCCACGAACGTGAACACCCCGAAGCTGCTGCCCACGGGCGTGATGACCATCCGGCCGTATCACAACGAAATTGATGCTCACGAGCGAAAGTGCCACAGGAGTTGTGCATGCTTGGACGAACATGATCTCAACGAAGGTGCCGCCCGCGAGCATGGACACAACGAATCTGCAGCCACGAACATGAAACCACAATCTAACAATTCGTGATGGCGCCGCCCAGAAGTAAAAAAACGATGAGCCTGTATCTCACGAGCGCGATGGCCACATAGTTTGTGCCTCCGGCGGGGGGGACCAACAAACACCAATGAGCGCTGATACCACAAAGCCACCAAGAGGCCAACACATGTCATGGCAATGTGCATATTTCCACGATGCCCTGCCACGCCCTCGACAGAGCGAGTGGGACCCTGACGTTGAACACCGGTTTAAAGCAGAGAAGAGTACAACGAGGTAGCGACGGCGCAGAGGTGCTTTCTCCACCCACGAGCAGCACCCAGGTTGCACTCGCGGCAAGAGGAAGACAACGTAGTGACACTAAACGGGTAGGCCGAGCCCATCTACTGCCTGGTACCGTTGCCGCCGGCGTGCGGGGGACACCTGCAGCCCGCGGGGAATCTGCACCGCCTTTGCCAAAGAGTCGGGTCAGGTGCAGGATGGTGGTGATTCATGGTCGCATGGCTGCCGGAATACAATCAACGTCAGCGTGGGCCAGGGGGGAACCGACCGCGCTGGCGACAGTGCGCTGCAGTGAGTGCTGCTGCACCCCGCCGCGTGCCGCAGTACTGACGACTGAGACAGGTTCGACCTGTCCCAGGCACTACGGGCCCGAGGAGGAACGAACAGCACATGTCGGGGACCGTTGCACGGATGAGGATAATGATGATGGTGCTGATGATGATGATGGTGATGCCGCTGATGCTGCAATTGATGATGCTGATGCTGATGATGATGGTGATTTTGATGGTGATGATGATTTTGCTGGTGATGATGATGATGATGCTGCTGATGCTGATGATGGTGATGATGGCGGTGCTGAGGAGGATTATGCAGATGGTGAGGAGGCAGGGGATGATGCAGATGATGCTGATGCTGATGCTGCTGCTGATGGTGATGATGATGATGAGGGGAGGAGGAGGAGGAGGAGGAGGAGGAGGAGGAGGAGGAGGAGGAGAGGAGGAGGAGGAGGAGAGGAGGAGGAGGAAGGAGGAGTGGGAGGAGAAGGAGGAGGAGGGGAGAGGAGGAGGAGGAGGAGGTGGAAGGTGGATGTGGAGAGGAGGAGGAGGAGGAGGAGGAGGAGAGGAGGAGGAGGAGGAGGAGGAGGAGGAGGAGGAGGAGGAGGAGCCCATGTACGTGCTCAGAAGTATTAGGAAACGCCCTTTTTGGCGTCATTGTATCATCACATTCCCTGGCGCTCTCTCGTGCCCTCGCTTTCCATGGCATCCGTCAGCCGGATCGCGATCTTCTTTGCCGTCTCTTTGTCTCACAATGTCGGAGGCGAAAGTGCCCCACGCAGTGCCCCATCATGGGGGAGAAGATTGGCAACGGAATCCACTGCGACTTCCACTGCGTCGAGGTCGCCCGTTTGCGGCCGTTTCCCTTTCTTGCCATGGCAGTCCCTGTGCCATTCGCTTGTTTTCAAGCGGAGCTATCGTGTGAGCTCTTCCATGCCCCCCCCTCAGATGGCCTGACTGCTGCTGTTTGGTGCGTTTTCCACTCGCCGTGATCCACTTCCTTTCAGAAGCTGTTGCATACCATTCGCAAGACTCGGCAGTGTCGTGTTTGTCTCCATGGTGACAGTCAACGTTTTCATGTTAATCTGGAATGATTGCGGCACCCAGGATAACACGTTGGATGCTCCTCATACCATCACATTGACGGTTTCAGACGCCTTGAGACCTGCCGCGATAAGTGAATTCCGCATGTAGAAACGTATGCAAGGCTAGCTGGAAGGTTGCTTCTGTGATGACGTCGGTGTCACCCAACTCTGAAGAGAACGGTGCCGAGTCATTTTGACTGGGGCATTTCTCCATCTGTGGTTGAGGTTGAACGGAGATTGGCTTGTCGTGTAACGCAGATGACTACGGCAATCAGGGCCCTCCCTCCTTCCTCTTTCTCCCTCCTCGAGGGGGCGGGATTGAGGATGACTTATGCTTTCTGGCGGCGAGGCAACCGTAGAAGCTTGTACGGCGCTCAACGAGGAGGCCACTGTGGTGGACAAGGAGTCAGTCTTTTCGTTTTCTTCGGCTTGAAGGCTGTCTCACCGCCCCTGGCATGCCGTACCACACCTCCTGCTCCTCCTCGTCCCTCCTCCTCCCTTCTCCCCCCCCTCTCTGAACCCCTCCTTGGTCTTCCCCATCCCATCCCTAGTCCGTAGTCGTAGGTAGTCCGATTAGGCCACCTTGGCCAGCAGATAGCGACCGGATCCAGGAGAGGTCCCATCTTACCACAGCAAGGCGAGTACGCAAAGTCGTCGATTCCTGTTCGACACTGACGCCCTGCAGTCCACGTTGCAGAGTGCAGGGCGTGCGCGGATTGGGGCCACCAGCGCTCGCGAAAAGGGCGAAACGCCGCCCTCGTCTCGGTGCCGCGCCCAATGTTCCCGTGAGCCGAGCTCCCGCCCGGGCGCGGCGCACGTGCCCCCTGATAGTGGACCCCCCCCGCCACTCGGCGCGGCACGTGCTCCGCGCCACCTGGGCAAGGCATCGGGGGCGGGGCCGCGCGCCCTGGGGGCCACGTGCGGACCCTGCCCCTGCCCCCGACGATTTCCGAGGGGGAGGGCGGGGTGGGGTTCCCCTGATAGTGGACCCCCGCCACTCGGCGCGGCACGTGCTCAGCACCACCTGGGCAAGACATCGAGGGCGGGGCCGCGCGCGACAGGGGCAACGCGTCGTCCTCGCCCGGGTTTTCCGTGCAGACCTTTCGCCGGGAAGCGCGAGGCGTTCGTCCGCGCGGGTGCTGCGCATATGCTCCTCTCGCCGGGCTGCGCGAGGCTTTTCGGAAGTTCCGCTCCCGCTCGTGAGCGGTCCGCTTTTTTTGCCTTCAAACATTACTCTTAATAGTAGTATCTGTATATATCTATGTATATATTGTTGTTGCTTCCCCCTTCGCCAGGTCGTCGGAAGCGGGACCGCGTGCGAGCGCTTTCCATTTGCCAGGTGGGAACGCATTGCCAAAGTTCAGTTGTGCCACCATAGATTCCTGCGCCATGGGAGGGGTGGTGGGAAAGGGCGGGGCCTGCTGCCTCGTTCGTCCTGGCTGACTTGACTCCCGTCCCACTCCTCCTCTCCCTCCCTGTCGCCCTCTTTCTTCCTCGTCCCCGGGCTCGGAGGGACCTGGGCCGCACGAGGGCCGCTTCCGAATACTCTGATGAGTCTTCCGTCGCAGTCAGTACCAGGTGCAAATTGTAGGAGGCCAGGTCCGACGTCTCAGGGCCCAGTGTCCTCCGCGTCGTGCCGCCATGGCCGAGCAGTGGATGCGGGGTCGTAGGTACAGTCAGCCCGCATGGCAAGGATGGGCAGCCTTCCCAAGGGTACCCTCGCCTCCTCGCCTCCTCGTGCCATCCTCGACAGCTATCCTCCCGTCTCGCACGTCGCAACTCTGGCGCGCCTACCCCCTTGCTTTTTGTAGCATGTGCGGCAGAAGTTACACGGCCGACCCCCGCCATTTCTTTGAAGTCTTCGAACCCACGCCCAAAGGGCGTCATAATCTCGCAAGAATTTATTCGGGTAGATATCCTCATCCCTCGGGTCATCCGAAGGCGGTCCGTGAGGCCGAATGGCAACGATTCATGAGATGATTCGGTTTCGGCTCGTAGTGGGGCCCTTTCTGGAATCGCGTTGTCCTCGCTCTGTACGCTCCTGATCGCTCCTCCAGTGAACGACTCGGTTCGGGTTCTGCCGCTGCTGCTGCTGCTGCTGCTGCTCCTCCCTCCTCCTCCTCCTCCTTCTCCTCCTCCTCCTCCTCCTCTTCCTCCTCCTCCTCCTCCTCCTCCTCCTCCTGTTGACGACACGATTTGGGTTCCCGCTCCTCCTCTCTCCGCCTCCCTGCCTCTCGTTCTTGCTCCTCGCCCCGTCCCCGCCCCCCGCTTCTTCCCCGCGCAGGAGCGCGGCATCTGCCGGCCCTGCAGCGTCAAAGGCCGCCTCGGGGAGGGCGGGGGGCGCCGTCGGTCAGCCGGGCTCGGAGGTGTTCTGATACCCGAGGGGGCAAAGGGGCGAGGAGGAGGAGGAGGAGGAGGAGGAGGAGGAGGAGGAGGAGGAGGAGGAGGAGGAGGAGTGGGAGGGGGAGGAGGAGGAGGAGGAGGAGGAGGAGGAGGAGGAGGAGGAGGAGGAGGAGGAGGAGGAGGAGGAGGAGGAGGAGGAGGAGGGGGAGGAGGAGGAGGAGGCGGAGGAGGAGGAGGAGGAAGGAGGAGGAGGAGGAGGAGGAGGAGGAGGAGGAGGAGGCGGAGGAGGAGGAGGAGGAGGAGGAGGAGGAGGAGAGGAGGAGAGAGGGGAGAGGGGAGAGGGGAGAGGAGAGACGACGACGGTAGCAGCGGCGGCGAGGACGGCGACGGCGAGACTCGAGTCGTTCGAGACATCTGAGACCTGAGATGTTTCAGAAGTCTGATACCGAATGCAGACTGCGGTCGACCGCCGCTACGCCGGTGCCCCTCCCCCCATCCCTCTCTGCTTCTGGGTCGGGTGATCCTCCTCGTATTGTGTTCGCTTCAGAGAAGCTTGGAACGTGCGCGTACGGGGCGACACGGAGCGGGGCGACACGGAGCGACAAGGACAAGGACAATTCGTGTATCGACCCTCCTTACGAGGGCGTCGTTGCCGCTCCTCCTCCTCCGTCGTGCCGCTCCTAGCCTCTCCCCGCCCCCGCCTAGTCCCCTGGCCCCTCGCCCCCTGGCCCCTGTGGGAGGCTGCCACCGGTGCGTCCACGACGGCACGGACACGTGCGAGCAGTGCAGCGCCGGGTTCTACCTCGGGAGGCCCGGGAACGCAGCCGTCCTGGCCCAGTCCTCCCACGGTGCGACTTTTCGGTCCCCGGGGCTCGTTGTCGGGCCTCGGGGCCATCAAACACGGAGCCGGCCCCCGGGAGGAAGGCGGCCGCGGCCTGCGTGAGGTCGCGGATCGCAAAAGTCCCATCGCCGGATGTCAGCGTCGGGCCAGGGAGGGAGGGAGAGGGGGGGGAGAGGGAGGGAGGGGGAAGGGGGGGCGAGGGGGAGAGAGGGGGGGGTAGAGGGAGGGAGGGGGAGTAGGAGGGGGACGGGGAGCGCCCGAGGAAGGCGCGCCAGGGGAGAGGCCGCAGTCAGGAGCACTGCTTGTCGCTGCCATGGCGGGGGGGCCCCGGCGGATCGCCCCCAGGCCCAGGCCGCCGGAGGGGGCCTGCAGGAGGACACGTCCGACCTAATCTTAAGTCGGGCGTGTCCCTCTACAGGGGGAATATTCAAAAATAGTCAAAGAATAGTCGGGGGACTATTTTTTGACTATTTTTGACCATTTTGGAGTATTTTTGGGGTATTGTTTTCTTTCCGTCCAAAATCCCTCTGTAGGAGGACAGGCCCGACTTAGACCTAATCCTGCCGTGGCCTCTTCTCTGGGGGTCGTGGCTCGGAGGGCCTCAACGACAACTCCTCGACGGCGACAACGGCTGCGGAAGCGAGAACCCAAGACATATATAATATATATATATATATATATATATATATATATATATATGAAAGAGCGTGCACGGGTCCACCGCCAGGCCCGAGCTCGTGAGGCGAAGTTGGCTACAGCACCACCCGGAGCCGCCCACGAAGTCCGAACGATGAGGAAGCCGCACACGACATCTCCAGCACGTGATACCAGGGTCCCTGCCCCGTAATTATAGCCGGAGTGCAGTATCCCCAAACAGG